TACTCGGAGTTCCGCGGCCTCCGCGACGCGCTCTCGCAATTGCACTTGTGCCCGCACTGCGCCAGCGCTACGCAAGCCATCACCAAGCAGTTCCCGCGCCGCCACCTCTTCTCGTCCACGTCCGAGCGTGTGCTCGACGATCGCAAAGTGCGCCTGCACCACTTTCTCGAGGTCTTGTCCATGGCCGCCGGCCGGTGCGTCGACGCTGCGTGCGTCCTCCGCGGGCAGTGGCAGAGCTTCCTCGACGTCCCCGACCTCAAGCAGCACAAGGGCGCGCGCATCTCTGCGGCCGCCGTCGCCCCGACGTCGCTGCTCGAGTTTAGCAGCCGGAAGGACCGACACGGCCGCCTTCTGCTCTTTCGCGCGAGTGAGGCGAAGCGGCTCTCGGGGGAGCGCCCCGTGTCGCCCGTCCCGTCCAGCGCCAGCGACGTGTGCATCGCGCGACCGCGGATGCTCGTTTAAGTACGTAGCTCAGTAGAAGTAGTCGTCGACGGTCGACGGGCGCTGGCCGGTGGAAGTCAGCGTCACGGACTGTCCTGTAAGTTAAGACATGGTGTCAATTGATAGGCGCTCAGCCTTGTTTGTGATCAAGTTGGCATGCAATTCGACTTCACCTCGCGAGGTCGCATGCAAGCACGACCTGTGGAAACCCCTGCGGCCGACGCAAGACAATGTGGACATGGTGCTATCCGACTTGTGACGTTGGACGTTTACGGAGAATCATTGACGGAGCAGTGGACTCTGAAATAGTGGACGCTACCGTGCGAGGCAATCGGTGACGAGCCATGCCCCCTGCAAGGAAATGCTAAGGTCCACCTCGCTGTACAACAACATTTGTTATAGCGAGATGGGTAATACTTGAACACTTAAATGCACTTAAATGTGCTAGGATGGATCGGGCGGTGATTTCACAGGTTCGACAATTTAACACTCCAACGCCAAATATTGGCACTGCCCAAGATGGAAATCGCACACTTTCGCTGCCTGCTGCACGCGTCCGCATCGGCGGCCACGGCCAAGCTCGTCGCGCACGTCCAACTTGCAGCGGTTTAAAGTGTGTCCGTCGTCTCCTATTGGTCGAACACATCTTCCCAACGTGTGATCGAAGGAAGCATTGCGTAAAAGCAAGGGGCCATTGAAAGCTTGGTGAAAGTTCGCGCCCCCCCTTGCCACAGATATTGCGGCGGCATGGTCAGGCGCGTCGGTCCTTCTTCGACCCAAGGGCAGCACGCCCAATTCCGACGACCGACGTCAGTGCGTCGACCTGCGTCAAGTCAACAAGAGCTCGGCTATCGTTGCCGCGCGTTCGGGTCTTTCTCGAGCGTGCGGCAAGTCGACACTCGTAGCTTTTGCGTCGTCCAAGCGTGCATCGATACCAACCAAATGGCGTTGCGCGCGTCCAGAGCTCGACAAGGACGATGCCTCATGGCCCAAGTGAGCAATGTCCAGCACAGCTTGTTCTCGACCGGGTTGGTCACATGCAGCTGCTGCGGGAGACCGTAGCCCGCAAGCTTGACGACGTGGCTAGACGTTGGTGCTTATCAAAGCGCCATGCACGACGTCCCGTTCGTGGAGGGAGCGCAGTCCGTGGGCCGTCGAAATCGAAATCACGGTCGGAATCGCGCTCTAGTGCATATCGAGTACTACATAGTGACGTACAGTGTACCCCATCACGAGCAGCTCATCGAGACGGCGCCCATATGGCTGCGCTTGACGTCGCTCGAAGCCACCTTCAAGGCGTTGGTCGCTCCGCTGTCACTGGTCGCTGAGTTCCTCATTTACCAATTCGCCATTGCCTGCAACGAGCTCCCAGACGCGTCGCTTGTAGCGGGAGCCTCCGCCGCTTCCCGTCCACTACAGGCCTTGAAGGGCGAGGCGACAACGTCTCCCCGCAGAAGACCAACAAGATGTGCATGATGCACCACGCTGAAAGGGGCCGTCCATGCCGACTGACGCGGCAACCTCCGGCTCTGCCCGGCTACCGTGCTCAAGGCGCTACAGCTCGCAGGCATGGACAGCGACCTGCCGCCCACGGCAAAAGAGACCTGTATGATGCACCTGCTCAAGGCGGTCACCAACGACCCCGCGCCGGTCGCTATTCGGCGATCGGACATGTACTGTACCGCCGTACATGGCCACATAAATACATGGCTGAAACGTCCGTGTCAAAAACAATCCAATCAGCGACGTGCATCAATAGAATAGGCGCGGAAACTTCCATTGATGCGCAGGTTCAGCCCCAAAGGATACTACAGCATTTGCATCACGTCCAGACTCTCATATTCGCTTTGAATTCAATGATGACAAGCTCTACGCACGTGCCTCGGACGCTATGGTATGCTGCCAAGACGGGCGACCTCGCGCTTCTCCGTACGCTTGTCGAGGTCGAGAACGAGCCGTTCTTCGCCGAGGACGCCGAGTTCAAGACACCGTTTTACATGGCTGCTCGTGCGACCACCCGCACGTGCTCAAGTATCTCCATGAGCTCTACGTTGCGCACGGCACGGCGCTCTCCAAGGACCAGCTCCAATGGTGCGACGTGAGCTGCCTCATGCCCGATGTGCGCGCGTTCCTTCAAGGCAAGAAGACAATCGACCAAGTCATTGCAGACCGCGACCTCGAAGCGCGCTGGGC